AATGCTTTTTCCACCCTTACCACCCCAGTCTTTTTCCTAGCCAGTATTTCTACTCGTTTGGCAGATCCCCTCTTCTCCTTCGGGCCTTACTTCTGCACTTTACCTTTGCTGGTTCCATTAAACTCTCCTTCTCCAATCCCCTTCCTCATCTGTATTACTGCCCTTTCCCCCACCTGCAGCAATAGGGCAGTGACCTGAGCACCCATTTGCAAAGTGTCCTTTAACTCCAGGGTCTTACTCAGATTTACATGCCCCCTTGTGAGAAAAAAGAATGTGGTCATCAATTCATACTGGTTCTTTTTTTTTTTTTTTTTAATTTTTATTGGAAAGGCATATATACAGAGAGGAGAGACAAAGGAAGATCTTCTGTCCGATGGTTCACTCCCCAAGCAGCAGCAATGGCTGGAGCTGAGCCAATCCTAAGCCAGGAGACAGGAGTTTCCTCCGGATCCCCCACGCAGGTGCAGGGTCCCATGGCTTTGGGCCGTCATTGACTGCATTCCCAGGCCACAAGCAGGGAGCTGGATGGGAAGTGGGGCCACCGGGATTAGAACCAGCACCCATATGGGATCCTGGTGCATTCAAGGTGAGGACTTAAACCGCAATGCTATAGCGCCGGGCCCCATATTGGTTCTTGGGGTAGATTCTCCTGGGCTTTCTAATTTATATCACTTTGTGCAACTATCTATAGGCCCTGGAAATGAACCTTCCTAGAAATTATAATACCCTAAGTCTTACATGCAACTGAAAACCATAGAGAAGAGGTTTTTAGAATCATCCTCAAGGGAATAATAGGCAAAGACAGAAGATTGCAGACAACAAAGAATGAATAGCTCTAACTACAGACAGAGATAAGAGACTGCCTGGAAAGAACGCTGCTGGTCTTGTTCTCAGTGATCAAGCTGCAGCTACTTGGGCTCATTAACTTTGTCAAGAGTTTAAAACAAGACACTCAAGATATCCTTCACAAACATGATCAAATGGTCAAACACTTCTCTTCCCTAAGCATTTACACGAATGCAACATCAGAAGGACTTCACTACAGACAAGGCCAAATCAATGTAATTCAAACCCTTAGCTTTACAGCTTAAATAATTAGAACAATACACTTTTCAGATCCTCACATATAGGAACATTTGCAGACATATACACAATGGACTTAGAAGTTCCTGGCTCTAAAACACAAGACAAAGAGTCCAAAAACCCATCTCCCCAATTACCTTCGTGGAGAGATCTCCCCCCTGTATCCACACACCTGACTAGGTGGGCACCAGACAATCATCGCTAGCCAAAGACAGGTTGCCACCTTCCTAATGGACAGAGCAGTAACACACTCCTCCCTCAGCATCTGATTTTCCCCAAACCTCCCTGAGTACACAGACCACACCCGTGTGAAACCTGACCATCTACCACATGGTAAATCTCTTTCGTGTAAATCTCTTTCTGTCTCCCTAGGGTCTCTTAGTACCAGCATGTCCTTCTGCTTAGCTCCACTACGCCAGTAGATCCAGTGGCAAGAGAACAGCTCTTTTACATGAGCCGTGAGGGAAGGTGCGGGGGAGGCAGTTCTTCCAAAAGCTCATGGGAAATAAAAACCTATGCATGGATTTCTAACAGCTTCTTTCCTCCACCAAAATCAACTTAGCTTCTGAGTCCATCTTTCCGCTTGCATGTTGACATTCCTTCATATAAGCTCTTCCAGTCTGCATGTGTATTTGCATGTCTGTAAGTCACACATTCCTATCTTGGGGGCGGGGAGGGCTGCTGGAGATGAATGTTACTGAAATCCTCTCCCAAATAAACTGAACTTTCAATCATTTCAATATGCCAAAAGAAGGTATTCTCATAGAAACTAATTAAGTAACTCTCTGGCAAATTAGAATAATAAAAATAAAAATAGTCATGTCTTTGACATCACAATGATCAAATATTATAATAATACGTTTTTTTTTTCCTTTGGAATGGAACCAGCTCTTTCAAATTTTTTTCTTTCTTTTTTTTTTCTAAGTATCTACTTATTTATTTACATGAGATGGAATATCTCTGTTTTTCTCCTTCTCATCACTCTGCCTTTCAAATAAATTAAAATAAATCCTAAAGAAGAATACCAGAATGTGCTATTTCTGGTTTAGAGTTGATATGGTTACAACAAAACAGAAAATACACAGAAGGCTTTCTTCATCCAAAAGTTAAGCCCAACAGAAACATACACTCCCATCTCAGCTGGGATTATTCTAAGTTTATTATAGGCTTACTGACTGTAAGCTAACACTGCAGCTACTAGATGTTCAAGATTACAAAAATGCAACTTAATATTCAGCAAAACTGAACTGCTATCCTGATCAACTTTATTTCAAGGAGTAATAAGGTTTTGTAGTATGTCAGCTTGAAGACAGTCCCCAATATCTTTAGGTAACTTAAACCTTGGAACTAGGTTAAATTATTTCATGGTTACTAGTTAGATCCTTAAGTGCTTATTAAGATAGAAAACTAAAATATTAAGCATAAGGTTTATACATTTTTAAAATTTTATTTTAAAAATATTTATTAGAGAAGAGTGACAGAAAAAGGAGACAGAGACCTGCTGGGTCACTCCCCAGCTGGCCCCCAAGGGTGGGGTGGGGCAGTCAAACGCCAGGAACCTGTACTTGACCTAGTCTCCCACATGTATGCAGGGACACAGGCACGCAGCCATCTTACTTTCCCAGCTGCTTTAGAAGGGAGCTGGATTGGAAGCAGGACTTGAACTGAAACTCTAATATAGAATGCTGGCAGTGCACACAGTAGATTAACTTACTGTGCCACAACACTGGCCCCTTGAATCTTACTTTTATATGATACTGACTACATACATTAGGGTTTATTATGGAACTTGCTTGGTTTTGTTACTTGGAGAAGCTGCATTGCAGGCTGAATCTACCTTATCTGAAATGCCTGGGACCAGAAACGTTTCACATTTCAGAATTTTTTAGATTTAGAAATATCTGCATATACTTTGCAAGTCACACCACTCCTAATTGAAAAGTCCAAAATCTAACATACTCTAAAATGCCAAAATTCTGGGCCCGGTGCAGCAGCCTAGTGAGTAAAGTCTTCGCCTTGCATGCATTGAGATCCCATATGGGTGCTGGTTCTAATCCCAGCAGCCCTGCTTCCCATCCAGCTCCCTGCTTGTGGCCTGGGAAAGCAGTCAAGGACGGCCCAAAGCCTTGGGACCCTGCACCTGCGTGGGAGACCCGGAAGAAGCTCCTGGCTCCTGGCTTAGGATTGGCTGAGCTCTGGCTGTTGCAGACACATAGGAAGTGAATCATCGAATGGAAGATCTTCCTCTCTATCTCTCCTCCTTTCTGTATATCTGACTGTCCGATAATAAATAAATAAATAAACCTTTAAACAAAAGATCCAAAAACTCTCAAGTACTTTAAAGGTTTAATGTTTCGGTTGAATCTGACTCTTGGATTTTCATATCAAGAATGACTAGCATGTATTAAAGAAAGATTATGACTAAAAAACTATGATACATGCTCATAAACTCAGCTAATCTGATACACGGTTATGATATATTATGGATAACTCATACTTATTCAGTTAGGTACACTTCCAGTTGTAATTGGTGTTAGGTGTTTGGCAGTGATTAAGATACCTTTTAAGCTGCCTGGCTCTCAGTTCTGATTTCCTGCTCATGTAATCCCGGGAAGCAGCAATGCAGCAATAATGGTCCAAGTATTTGGGTCCCTGCCACTGATGTGGGAGACCGACAATCCACATAGGAGACCTTAATTGAGTTCCTGGCTCTTAGCTTTGGCCTGGTTTGGTCCCAGCCGTTGCAGGTATCTGATTAACGAAACTATATATATAGAAGCACAAATGTTCTCCCCCCTGACTTCCTGTAGATTAACTAAATCATAGTAACAGGGCTGGCACTGTAGCACGCAGATTATGCTGTAATCAGTGACACTGGCATCTCATAAGGACACTGATCTGTGTCCCAACTACTGCACTTCCCATCCAGCTCTGTGCTAACACATCTGGAAAAGCAGTAGGGGCCCAGGGCTTGGACCCCTGTACCACACAGGGGATCCAGATGAAGTTTCTGACTTTATCCTGACCCAGCCCTGACCATTGTGGCCATCTGGGGAGTGAACCAGCAGATGGCCAATCTCTGTCTGTCTCTCCTCCTCTCTCTAGGTCTCTGCTTTTCAAATAAATAAATAAATCTGAAAAGAAAAAAACTCACATTTATAACTGAATACATGAATGAGACTCTACTAGGAACAACAGTGCCAGAGAAGAATGCAAGGTATGAACGATATATATGTTTTCTTCTTAACTGGTATAAAATGAGTAGATTTCACATTTTTCACGATGAATATGTATACACATAGGTGTTAGAGTGAACAGTTTCACCCTAAAATTACTGGTTAATCTAAAATAAGCGTAAAATGTAGGACAAAACCTGAATGGATATAGAAACTTGCAGATGGTCCACATACTGCCACGTTTTATGGGTTTATTTCCAGCATTTTGCAGGAACATAAGTGTCAAATATTAAATTGTTATTCTAGAATTTGATGAAAATTATTATTCCTATCAACATGCTTCCTTTTCTGTTCTTTGTAAAATACCTCCATTTTCATTGACCACTTGGCCATCAAAAAGCTGGAAGAGGAACAGAGTCAAGCTAAGAAACATTTTCAAGTGTTAAGGGACACTATTAAAAAGCCAAAGATAAGAGTTATGGGAATTCTAGAAGGTACAGAAAGAGAAGCTGGGTTTAAAAATGTATTCAATAAAATAATAAAGAAAAACTTCCCTAATCTGCAGAAAGAATTGGGAAACAAAATACAGGAGGGGCACAGAACTCCCAAAAGGGTTGACCAAAAGCGATCTTTGCCACAGCACATGATAACCAAGCTCTCTTGAGTGGAACACAGGAAAAAGATCCTCAAATATGCACATAAAAATCAATTAACATATAGAGGAACCCCAATCATACTTACTGCTGACTTCTCAGAGGAAACTTTACAGGCCAGAAGAGAATGGAGTGACATATTCCAGATTCTAAAAGGAAAAAATTGTCAGCCCAGAATAACTTACCCAACAAAGCTTTCCTTTGTCTATGAAAATGAAAGAAAATGCTTCCACGGTAAAGAAAATCTCAAAGAAGTTGCCTCTTCCAGACCTGCCTTGTAAATGATAAAAATGTTCTCTTGACAGAGAAACAGAATAGCACTTACCAAAACCAAAGGTAACCGTGCAGAATGTCCAAATAAAACAGCAAAAGAGTACTAAATCAAACTCTGAACAACCCATGGCTAAAATGACAGGACCAAATTACTACCCATCAACAGTAACTCTGAATGTAAGTAGCTTAAAGTAATCAATCAAGCATCATAGATTAGCAGAGTGGATCAAAAACAAAACCCATCTATCTGTTACCTATAGGAGACACATCTCACCAACAAAGATAGTCGGAAACTGAAGGTGAAAAGATGGGAAAAAATATTTCAGGACAATGGAAAAGAAAAATGAGCGGGTATAGCCATTCTTACATCAGATAATGCAGACTTTGACGTGAGAAATATTAAAAAAAAAAAAGAGAGAGAGAGAGAGATGAAGAAGTATACCACACATATGATCACAAAGGATCCATTCAGCAAGCAGAGATCACCTTACTAGTTTCCTATGATTTCCTTTTCATCTCTAATTTTACTTGGTTTTTCTCTTGCTTTTCTTTGTTAGTCTGGCTAAAAGCTTGCTTTGCTCATTTTCTTAAAAAAATGGCTCTTTCTTGTTGCAATTTGTAGTTTTTTAGTTTCAATTCCATTTATTTTTGCTGTGATTTTCATCACTTCTTGCTTCCTGCTTTTTCTTTTTTAACAAGTCCTTGAGATGCATTATTAGATCATTTGCTTGACATATTCCTATTTTTTGTAATCACCTGATGTTATAAATGTCCATTTCAATACTGTTTTTGCTACATCTCACGGGTTTTGATATTTTTTTGTTTTATTTTCATTTCTTCGAAACAGCTTTTTTTTTTTCTTGTTAATTTCTTCAGTGACACCTAGGTCATAAAATATCATTGTTTTCTTCAAGAAGGTTTTTTATTTTCTCTTTCATTTTTTTACAGCAACACATTGGTCATTCAGTAGCATGTTGTTTAACTTCATGTTGTAAATTTTCTATTTTCCTTCCTGTTGTTGATTTTGTTCTGTGGTTTTTCATTTAGGCTAATGTGTAGTAACTGTGTAACAGAGACTATCATATCCAGATGCAAAGATACAATACTGTATGCATCTCTACTACCAAATTAAAGATGAACTCCTAATGAAACTGTTAAATATATCTTGACAATAAGCTGTTGGACTGTCTGCCATTGTCCATGTCTGCAATGTCAGGATACTCTTAAATAGCAGAATGATGGACTTATTATTGCTCATGAAGAACTATACTATTGTAATAATACAGGGCCTGACACAATAGCCTAGTGGTTAAAGTCTTCGCCTTGAATGCACCCGGATCCCATATGGGCACCGGTTCTAATCCCAGCAGCTCCACTTCCCATCCAGCTCCCTGCTTGTGGCCTGGGAAAGCAGGTGAGGACGGCCCAAAGCCTTGGGACTCTGCACTATGTGGGAGACCTGGAAGAAGTCCCTGGCTCCTGTTTTCAGATTGGCATAGCACCGGCCGTTGCGCTTACTTGGGGAGTGAATCATCGGACAGAAGATCTTCCTCTCTGTCTCTCCTCCTCTCTGCATTTATCTGCCTTTCCAATAAAAATAAAATAAATCTTTTTTTTTTAAAGGGCAAGCTTATTTTAATGCAAAAACAATTTTGAAATCCATGCTTAGTTTTTGCATAGTAGAATTTTCCATATGTTTTTGGAACCAAAATAAAGTCACTCCAGTGTTCTGCAAATGTTCTGAAGCACCCCTGCATAACTGACATAACCCAGAATGCGGACCACTTCACACCACTAAAAATGACTATCAACAGCAGATTCTGAGAAACCTACTTGCAGGAAATTTCTCTTTTAAAAGTACCTCCTTACAGAAAAGAAAGGTAGAAACATCTCTCTCCCACCTTTGCTCTCTGCCCACTCCATCCTTGGGTGTGTTTCTGTGATTTTCTCGCCTTTTAAATAAACTCGACAAAAAATCCACTCCGCCTTGTACCTGGTACCCTGCCATCCATCCATGTGGCACACTCAGTGGAGTTCCTGGCTCCTGGCTTTGGTCTGGTATAACCCCAGCCATCATGGCCATTTGGGGAGTGAACTATTGGCTACAATATCTCCCTCTCTGCCTTTCAATCAAACAAATAAATGGATCTTTTTTAAAGAATAATAAACATTAACCATGGATCCTACCAAAAACAATGTACTTACCTTAGAAGAAAATGTATATGCAAGTGGGGTTAAACAGAAAAGTTAAATCTCTGTGTTTCATAGTGTAAAGTCAACAGGTAATGGTTTCAATTGAAAAACAGAGATATTCAAGATGTCAAGAGTACTTCTTGAGCACCTGGAACCTGCAGGAAAAGGAACCTGGGAAAAACCATTTTTGTTCTCTTTTTAAGATTTATTTATTTATGCATGGAAACGCCGATCAGATTTACAGAAAAAAGGAAAGACAGAGAGAAACATCTTCCATCCACTGCTTCACCCCCAAAATGGCTTCAACAGCTAGAGCTGAACCTATCCGAAGCCAGGAGCCTCTTCCTGTCTCCCATTCAGGCAGAGGGCCCAAGGCTTTGGGCCATCCTCCACTGCTTTCCCAGACCACAAACTGGGAGCTAGATGGGAAGTGGAGCAGCCAGGACAAGAACCAGCATCCACCCATGTGGGATGTGTGTGCTTGCAGGTAAAGGATTAGCCAATTAAGCCATTGCACCAGAGCTAAGAACTATTTTTCTAACAAGAAATCTGAAACTACTTGATACTTCACACAACTTTTAAACAAAACTAAAAACCAACTGAAAATTATCAAGTGGCCAAAAGTATTCACCCAAATATAGAATGATAAAGGGTTATTAATCTTACTATTTTTAAGATACATAAGGTAAGATAAACATTTTAGCAGAAAAGGAGGGGGAAAGTCCCAAACAGAAATAAATTACCATCCATAACACGTATACATGTGGGGGAGGAGGGAAGCAGTTCCAGGCAAGAAAGAAAAAAAAAAAAAAAGAAAGAAAAGAAAAGGAACGCACAGCATCTTCAGTTTGTGAAAGTCATATTACCAGAAAAGAACTTATTTCAAAAATTTTTGTGCCAAAATAAATCAACGTTTTAGTTTTAGTTTCCTCGAATATTTTAAAGCAGCCTCTGCTCTGGTTTGGATCTTCATTTGGGTGTCTCCCCAAGGCCAAAGACTTAGTCTTTGAAGTCCTATGTTAACGCTGCTAAGAAGAAGGAAATTTAATCCAGTTGTGGTGTTTAGAGGGGTCTTTGGGAAGTGAATGGATTAGGCTTAACTGTGCTGGCTTAGAAAGGAGCGCAGTAGATAAGGACAATCAGATCAGTGTGCTTCTCCCTGCCCATGTGATGATTCACATCAAGTAAGGACTAGGCCAGCAAGAATGTCCTCATCAGAACCCCAACCAGTAGGGATATCTGTTGGACTGTGAATCTCCAGAACCATGAGCTAAAAAACAAAATCTGGGGCCTGGCACTGAGGCCTAGCAGCTAAAGTCCTTGCTTTGAACACGCCAGGATCCCATATGAGTGGCGTTTCTAATGCCGGTGGGTCCACTTCCCATCCAGCCCCCTGCTTGTGGCCTGGGAAAGCAGTCAATGACGGCCCAAAGCCTTGGGACCCTGCACCCATGTGGGAGAGCAGGAAGAGCTCCTGTCTCCTGGCTTCAGATCAGCGCAGCACCAGCCATTGTGGTCACTTGGGGAGTGAATTATTGGATGGAAGATTTTCCTGTTTATCTCTCCTCCTCTCTGTATATCTGTCTTTCCAATAAGAATAAATTTTTTTTAGAAATCTGTTTTTTCTTTAAAGTTAGTTTTCTCTTTCTTTCTCTTATTTCATTGCAGTGATTTAAAGCTAACTAAGACATCCCTGTACAAATTAAAAAAAAAAACGAGATCATCTCTTTTCTTTAAGCTTTGGAGTGCTAGAATGAATTTGTTCTTCTGGGCACTCCTTTCTCCTCACCTCACAGGTGTTGCCATGTTCCCTTGGTTGGGGGGCTTCTGTATGAGCTGCCATACTCCCACTGGACCTCAGCCCTGGGCTCTCCTGCCAACAACTCCGCTCTTTCAGGATGGTGAAGTCCAGTGGGTCTGTAGACTCAAACAGAGGAAGGTCCTGCAGCCTTCACTGTGGGGTCTGACCTTGTGACTCAGCAGAACCTCCAAGACACCTAGAAAGACAACATCCACAAGATCAGTCATGAAACACTCACTGCACAAACACTTCTTGGGGCATCAAAGCGCACTTCACATCACCCAACCTGCTGGAGGAAACAAAAATCTAGGAAACATCTGTTAATTAAAATGGAATATGACAGACATTGTGAGCTTTGGGTTATGATTAATAAAGGTGGGCAGTTTCTCAAAATGTAAACCACAGAGAAATGAAAACATGTATCTGCTTTATACATAAATATTCTATAGCAGCATTATTCATAGCAAACACAAGTAGAAACAATCTAAATGTTCTTCAACTGAAATGGGTAAGAAAAAATTTGGTATGCCCATATAATAGAATATTATTTGGCAGCAAAAAAAAATACTGATACCTGTTACAGCATGAAGTAAACCTAAAGCCATTCACCTAAGTGGAAGAAACCAATCACAAAAATATCACATGCTCATATTTGATGATTTCAAGTCAATCAAATGTCCACAATAGGCAAATCCACAGACAGAAAGTAGATTCATGGTTGCCAGGGTTAGGGGCTATGGAATGGCATAAGTGGTGAACATCTGCTAATAAAACAAGTTTTCTTTTGGGGATATTTCAAAGGTTCTAAAATTGTACTACGATAATGGCTGCACGACCCTGTGAATACTAAAAACCACCAAACAGTATATAATTTGCACTTTCTAAAAAGAATTTCCTATGTGCTATTTTTATTTGAAAAGGCAGTGTTACAGAAAGACAAGAGAAGAGGAAATAAATTTTCCATCCACTGATTTAATCCCTCAAAAGGCTGCAACTGCTGACTCTGGGCCAGCTAGAAGCCAGGAGCCAGGAGCCAGGAGTTGGCATGCAAGGACTTGAGGACTTGGGCTGTCTTCTGTCATTTTCCCAGGTACATCATTAGCAAGGAACTGGATGAGAAGTGCAGCAGCTGGACCTCAAACCAGCATACATATAGGATGCCGGCATCATACTGGAGGCTTAGCCGATTGAGCCACAGCCTCTTTATTTTTACTTAAAACAAAAAAAGATTTATTTTACTTTTATTTGAAAGGCAGAGAGAGAGAGATCTCCCATCCTCTGGTTCAATTCCCAAATAGCTGCAACAGCCAAAGCTGAGCCAATCAATCTGAATTTTGGGAACCAGGGGTTTCCTCTGAGTCTCCTATGATGATGCAGGGCCCCCCAAGGATATGAGCTATTCTGCATTGATTTTTCCGGCCATAAGTAGGGAGCTGGATCAGAATTAGACCAGCCAGGACTCTAACTGGTGCCCATATGAGATGCTGGCACTGTAGGCAAACACTTAACCTACTATGCCATGGGACCAACCCTCATTTTTATTTAAATGTCTTTCTTTTTCTTAAGCTTTATTTTTTATTTTTTATTGCAAAGTCAGATATACAGACAGGAGGAGAGACAAGGAAGATTTTCTGTCTGCTGATTCATTCACTAAAAAGTCGCAATGGCCAGAGCTGAGCTTATCCAAAGCCAGGAGCCAGGAACCTCCTCCAGGTCTCCCACACGGTGCAGGGTCCCAAGGCTTTGGGCCGTCCTCGACTGCTTTCCCAGACCACAAGCAGGGAGCTGGATGGGAAGTGGGGCTGCCAGAACTAGAACTGGCACTGATATGGGATTCCAGCGTGCTCAAGGCAAGGACTTTAGCTGCTAGACCACAGCGCCGGGCCCGAAATGTCTTTATTTTTCAAATAAAAATAAATATAATTGGAGATGAATTCAGGCAAAAATATTCAAAATAGAAAAAATCCAGAACTAAGCAAAATAGAAACAAAAATCAGAAAGCAGTAATTAAGAAAAACAAAACCTTAAATAAAATGAAGCAAATACTACAATATAGAGTTTAAAGAAAGCAAGAGCTAGTCCCTTGAAATCATCAGTGTTAACTATAACCCCTTAGCAAGCAAGATAATGAACAAAATTCACACATACACACTCACATTGACGCAACAGTTAAGCTGCTGCTTCCGATGCCGGCATCCTGATATTGTGGTGCAAAATTCAAGTCTCAGCTATATCAGGACAGTCTTCCGCTAGCGTATACCTGGAGAGGCAGCAGGTGATGGTTCAACTGCTTGGACCCTGTCACTCACGTAGGAGATTTAGATTGAGTTTCAGGCTCCTAGCTTTGGACTGGCTGCTGCAGGCATTTGAGGAGTAAACAAGTGGATGGAAGCTTCTCTTTTCATGTATCTATCTGCCAACATCTGCCTCAACGCCACCCACCACACCCCCCTGCCATGTCTCTGACTCTGTCTCTTTGCCCTCCAAGTTAAAATTAAAAAAAAAAAAAGAAAAGAAAATAGGGGCGGGCATTGTGGAGCAGTGGATTAAGCCACATCACCTGGATGCCTGCAGGCATCTGGTGAGTGAACTAGCAGATGCAAAACTCTCTCCCTCCTTTCTGTCGCCCCCCCATTACACCTTTTCAAGTAGAAAATACTGTTAAAATAAACAAAAATATGTATTTCAAATTATATATCATCTATGTACACATAAACATTTATTTATTTTATTTATAAGTATACAGTTGAATTGTGGGAGGAAAAGAATCATTCTTGATAGGGGATGGCTTAAAGCAGTTATTGTGGAATATTATGATTAACTATGCCAACATGTATTTTTAAAAGGATTTATTTATTTTAACTGGAAAGGTAGATTTATAGAAAGAAGGAGAGAAAGATCTTCCATCTGTTGGTTCACGCTCCAAATGGCCACAACGGCTGGAGTTGAATCAATACAAAGTCAAAAGCCAGGAGCCTCTTCCAGGTCTCCCACACAAGTGCAGAGTCCCAAGGACTTGGGCCATGCTCTATTGTTTTGCCAGACCACAAGCAGGGAGCTGGATAGGAAGTGGAACAACCAGGACATGAACCAGCACCTACATGGGATGCCGGCACTTTCAGGTGAAGGATTAGCCTATTGAGCCACCACAACATTATGCCAATAGCAACATATTTTAATTTGATGTAAAACAAATGATTCCCTGGCAAAATGTAAATTAACAAAGTAAACACAAGAAAAATATATGGGGGAAAAAAGATTAAACTAAGACGTGTAGAACATCCTCCCTCGCCCCCACACACAAAACTGATATTAATGCATCAAACACAAATAGGATAATAACCCTGCAGGGTAGGACAATAAGGTGGACAGCCTACACATGACCTCAGGACTAGATGAATCACAGTGATTCCTGCTCTAGGTTTGCCCTCTAATATATCACTAAAAATATCAGAGAAGCTTACTACTTAAAGCCATCAATAGATGGAAAAACAGAACACAGAAGAGGAGAAAGAAGCTTCCAACTAATTCTGAGGCCAGTAAAATCAGACAAGTATATTACAAAAAAGAGGAAACTATACACCAATATCTCTCTTGCATTTAGAAGCAAAACGTTAAAAAAAAAAAAAAAGTATTAGCTAATCAGTTCCTGCAATATATCCAAAGATTTATATGCCACCACTAAGGGAGGTTTCTTTTAGGAATATAAGGCTGGTTCAACATTGAAAAATCAATTGGTATAACCTCCATACTAACAGGCTAAATAAGAAAAATCTCAAGGTCATCAAGAAAAGCCACTGTAATCAAAAGACCAGGAAAAAGGTGACCTAACAGAACATGAAACCATTTTGGAAAACGCCCAGAGCAGTCTAGCCAAACACTAATGAGATACATATGCCTTTTAAACTTCCATCAAACACTCTGCAAGACACACCATAAAACACCTCTGTGGCTGGAAATCACACACTAGAAATTAGTAACAGAAATACTGGCGAATCTCCAATACCTGAAAATTAATACATTTCTACACAATTCACAGACCAAAGAAGAAATGCACTGAGAGACAATGAAAATATAACATACAAAAATGTGTAATTTGTGGGATGCAGATAGAGCAGTGCTGAGAAGACAACTTACGATGCTAAACTTCTGCATTAGAAGGCAGGGTTTCAATGAACAAAGTAAGCTTCCACCTTAACATAAATGAAAAAGAAGAGCAAAGGAAATCCAACACAAGAAATAAAGAGCAGAGCCAGGTGTTTGTTCTAGTGGTTAACATACCAACTGGGATGCACACACTCTACATCAGAGTGCCCGGGTTGGAGACCCAGCTTTGGCTCTCAATTCTAGCTCCTACTTCCACGTTCCTGTGGGTGATGGCTGCACCGATTGGGTCTCAGCCACCCTGTGGGGAATCCGGATTGAGTTTGGGGGTTCCTGGCTTCATCCTGTGTGATTCCCTGAATGTGGTAGGCATTTGGGAACGTTTTCATTTTCTCTCTCGTCTCTCTCTTGTGTCTCTCTCTCTCTCTCTCTCTCTCTCTCTTAGAAAAGCAGAGGAGAAAACATGTTTAAAAAGATCAACAAAACTGATAATCCTGTATTGAAACTAACAAAACTAAAAAGACAAATACTACCAACATCATAAATGAAGAGATGTAACTTCACATCTTTCAGCAATGAAAATAATAGTAAGAAAATACCACAGCGTTATACACACAACTGCAATAAAAGCGGAACGGAGGCTTGTGGCATTGCAAGTAAAGCAGCCCATGCAGGCACCGATTCAAGTTCCATCTGTTCCATTGCTGATCCAGCTCTCTACTGATGTGCCTGGGAAAGCAGCAAAAGATGACTCAAGTGCTTGGGCCTCTACACCCTGTGGGAGACCCAGAAGAAGCTTGGCTTTGGGCAGGCCCAACACTGGCTGTTGCAGCTGTTTGAGGAGTGAGCCAGCAGATGGAAGATTCTATCTCTGTTCCCCACATACCCTGTAACTCTACTTTTCAAATAAATAAATGAATCTTAAAAAAAATCCACCAAGATGAAATGTTCCAATTCCTTATAAAATGCAAACTACCATGACTCATCCACTGTCAAATAGATAATATGGAAAGGCATTAAATAGATCATCTCAATGGTTATATTACTACAAAAAGCTTCCAAACGGAAATTATCAGTCCCAGATGG